TGCTCCAGCCCTGACTCCTGCCCCCCCCATATCTCTCCCCCTCCTCTGAACCCCCCACACACCAGCCCTGACTCCTGCACCCCCATATCTCTGCCCCCGCCTCTGAACCCCTCCACTCCAGTCTCTGCCCTGAGCCCCTCACACTGCAGCCCTGACTCCTGCACCCCTCCACACACACCCCAACCCTCTGCCTTGAGCCCCTCCTTGCAATTGGAGCTTTCTTTCTTTCGAGAGAGTGTCCATGCAGCCTGGATGCTCTCTTTTGAAAAAGCAGGTTGCTTTTTCGATCTGGTTTGGAGGTGTGGATGCTGTCTTTCGAAAGAAGCTTGCAATCCAGACGTACCCAGAGTTAGTCTGTGAGCAAAGAGATGTTAGTGTACGTTTCTTCAGTGTGTGTCTGCACTACACATAGGGCATGTCTAAATTACACCCCTCTTTCGAAAGAGGGATGCAAATTAGGCTGATCGAAATTGCAAATGAAGCTGGGATTTGAATTTCCCGTGCTTCATTTGCATAAAGGCGGTCGCACATTCTTTCAAAAAAGGGTATTTCAAAAGTGAAACCACTGTCTAGACGTGGTTCTTTTGGGGGGAAAAAAAACCTTTTTCTAAAGATCCCGTGCTCCTTATTTTTTAAGGAGTACAGGATCTTTCGAAAAAGGGATTTTTTCCCAAAAGAACCCTGTCTCGACGGCGGTTTTACTTTCAAAAAGCCCTTTTTCAAAAGATCGCGTGGCCACCGTCACGCAAATGAAGTACTGGAAATCCCGGCTTCATTTGCAATTTCTATCTTCATAATTTACATCCCTCTTTCGAAAGAGGGGTGTAGTTTAGACATACCCATAGAGAGGTACAGTATCTACATAGACACACATACAAATGTGTGCACATGCATGCGCCTACACACAGGCGTGTCTGTCTTCTCCCTTTGCATGGCATTTGAAAAGCAACAGGCTGGGGTTCTAATGTCATTTTAAGATTCAAAAGCCTTTCTAATGCTTTTGGGAAACTCCTGGTACCACTGAACACAGCAGCTGTCCGGGATGCGTTGCACAGTTTGCACCCCCCTCCCCCCCGCCCTTTGCCAGTGTGTCAGTGCCCGGGTGCATGTTTAGGCCTCTATTTACAATCAGAGCAAGAATTTCCGATGTGCTCAGCGCCACCACTTGCATCCAGATTTCCAGAAAAGGTTCGGAGACCAACGGGAACGGCCGCATCCCGCCTCTTTTGAAAATCCAGCCATTTCATTTAGGTGCCCAAAAGAGAAGCAGCTGGGTGCCAGATTGTTTTTACCACCTGGCCGTACGTTCAGCCGGTTTTAATTGCTGTGCCCACTATGCAAGAAAAACGTCGGCAGGAAGGTTGTATTAAATCATTAACCTCGCTGGATGAAATTCTGCATCCGCTGTGCTATGCAGGAAGTTAGACGCCGTGGTCATGGAGGGCCCTTCTTGCTTTCACATCTTCCTAGAAAAAAAATAAAATTAGGCTTCGTGACCCCAATTTTCTTTAGCCACATCAAAGCTCCTTCTGGCCACTTCCTCCTCTTTATTATCATCTGCTTTTTGGAACAAAAAGACTGTTCACGTATTTCGATATTTGCTTGACTCTCCCGTCTGCCGGGCACATTCTAATCAGCAGGCAGTCCGCACAAAGACAGATTTTCACTTCTCCTCCACAGCCTAAACAAGACCAAAAATAAGAGCTATCAAATGGTAAACTTTTGTAAATACATTTGATCATTACTCACCGGCCCTGCAAATCTTTCAGAGCACTGGACAGCCAGACTAACAGGACACCATAATGATGCTCTTCGCACTAGACATCTTTCTCCCATGCTTCCAATCGCTATCATAATAGAAATGTATTGCCGCTTGTGTGTCCTTGCCTATTTTGCGTAACAAATCTCAACGGGTCGCTGTGTGCTTCAGGAGATCGCACGTTCTGAACGTGCCTATTTTTTGCAAGAGCAAGTCCTATCTCAGTTAATATATTGTGTTATAGTATCTGTAACCACTGACCATAACTCAGCCAGCACATAACACATTTTCATTTTGTTGCTCCATTATTTCTGCAGCCAGTCGATACAATATGAGGCGAAGCGTGCCTGGCTCAGCACGTATCGATCTGTCCATTTGCTCATTGTTTACATCAAAACATCACTTGTCAGTGCTGGTTCTTTTATGATTATCTTATCCTACAGGAAATGACAGATGCAAAGACTAAATGCTAGTCAATTTCCAAGGGCGGCTGATGTGAAGAACAAAGTAGACGCCCTTTCATCAATATAGATAGACGTGGGTAACAAACAGTTGGAGCCTGATTCTCATTTACATCAGGGCGCCTTTGTTTCCTTCTGGCATGTTAATGTAATTTTATCCACTGTAAGGACCATTTCTATTGCCAGGGTGCTGTAAAGGGGTGTTAGTATAAATGCATATCAGCCCCCTTTGGTTTCTTGCTAAGAGGTAAAAACCCTACTGCTATGTATATTGCAAAAATAAATAATAAAGCAGATCGATATCTAATCCACATTAGCAATGAATGCTCAACAATCAAGGAAAACACGTGAACTTGTCTAACCCCAAACTCAACTTCATTTGCTCATTCAAAATCCTACTTCTTCATGAAGCGCACGGCCAACCTGCGGAACTCCTTGCCAGAGGATGTTGTGACGGCTGGGACTTTATCTTGCTCTTTTTAAAACCCTGTTAAATTCATGGAGGTTAGGTCTGTCAATACTTATTAGCCAGGGTGGTTAGGGATGGTGTCTCTAGTCTCTGTTTGTCAGAGGCTGGAAATGAATGAGAGGAGAGGGATCACTTGATGATTCCCTGTTCTGTTCACTCCTTCTGGGGCATCTGGAATTGGCCACTGTGGGCAGACAGGATACTGGGCTGGATGGACCCAGTACGGCCATTCTTATGTTCTTACTCTGGTAGTCAAAACCAGCTAATAGACATTGGTGGACCTAACCTCCATGAATTTGTCAGTTCTTTTTTGAACCCTGTTAAAGTCCTGCTCTTCACCACATCCTCACAACATCACAACAGGCTCTGGCAAATGGTATGATCAACTCAGTGGTCTGATCAGCACCTCAAGAGACAATCTGATGGGGATCTCTATGACCCAACACTATCACAAATCTCATTTTGCTATCCGTCATAATCTTTAGCTTACAATGTTACCATATTTTTTTCACACCCCCACCGAAACAAAGGCAAAATCCCACTGAAGGAAGATCCATGTATTTCTAATGAATAACACAGCCCTGGTGTGTCCTGAGGTACTGAATTTTAACCTGAAGCTGATCCAGGACTGAAGTTTGGGAATCTTGGGCCGCTGTAATTTTGAAGTTGGCTGAACAGTTTTAAATGTGGAAGGAAGCAAGCAATTTGCCCTTTTGGAACCCTGTTCAAGTCCTGGCAAGGAGTTCCACAGGTTGACTGTGCGCTGTGTGAAGAAAAACTTCCTTTTGTTATTTGATCCACTATTTGATCTGAGGAAGTGGGTCTGGCCCACGAAAGCTCATCACCTATTAAACCATCTTGTTAGTCTTTAAAGTGCTACACAGTCCTGTTTTTTGTTTCAGCTGCACCAGACTAACATGGCTGCATTTCTATCACTATTCCTTTTGTTATGTTCTTATGTTCCCAATCAATGACTTTTCCTTTCATAAGAGTATTTTGTGACCCTATAAAATATTGCTACCAACGCATCCCATCTTCTTAGTGTAGAAAGTATGCTTGTCTGAGGTAGGACATCAGAGGCACACAGACATTGTGTTGGGCATCTGCAGGGGAGTGAATTTCACTGGTCATGAATAAATCCCACTGAATATCAGAATATTTTAACCTTATTTGGCGTGGGAGACATTTTGCCAGCCGATCGTTAACATCGCCTGCCAGTGTCATTTGGCGCCTGACCGAATGTCAGTGACAATGTCACCTCGTGTGAGGTGCCTCCATGTTCTATTAGTAAAGATAGCATTTCCTGTTCATCCATTTTACTCTGGCCTACCCACAACGCCACATATCCCCCAGCAAGGGGCTTACCAAAGCCCGCCCTCTTCAGTGTTTCCAAATGGGACCCTCTCCCAGACCTACAAAGCCAGCCCTTAAGTTGTTAAAGGGCTTTGAAAAATGCATTTGGAAAGGCAGATACGTTCCTGGGGAGCATGCAGCAGGGCCGGGCATGAATAAATGAATGTGATCAGTAAACCCTTCAGGAAATGATCAATCACTATAGAAAGATAAGTCGACGTGAGGGGGGAAAATCAGACAGCTGGTACAGCCATGCACTTTGGAGTTTGACTGAGGGGATGTGGGTGACAGGGAGTCAGGTCTATTTGCCCTATAAATCTGATTGAGAAAGATCAAATCTAATGGGATTTCTGATCAACTGCAATCATTCCACCAACATAACTCCATGGATGGGAGAGCAGTGAACGGTACGCCGCCCCTCTCCTCGTGCAGCCTGAACGGTGCTGTCAGGTTAAAACAGCCCGGCCTTAGAGTATACATCTCCAAATCACGCCATTGCTCTTAAAGCTGGAGAGACCGTCTACTGAGACTAAGTAGACAGAAGACTACAGAACCGATTTTCAAACGCGCTTGGCACTTCAGAAAAGCACTTCTGAACATCCACACCAGCAGGAGCAGCTGTGTGCTGAGCCCTTTAGAGCAGGAAGTCACTCTCCATTCCTTTTCAAGTCAGTGTTTTTACACTGTAACGCCAGTGAGTTTTCCCCTTTACTACTTCAAAGCATGTTCCCAATGAGATGGCACAACTCTTGAATTGTTCAGGAGCAGAGCTAAGGGGATTAGGAATCCCATTGCTAAAACCACTGGGAAAATCATGCCAGGATATTTTAAAATCTTCAATTACATTTTGCTGCCTTCCTCGGAATGTAAGGATCCAGTACAACAAATAAACTAAAGAGCTCCTACTTCATTTGCAGTGTGAAAATGCAGCCATCACCATGCAAAATTGTGCATGTAGCACCATTGACCCAGTGGAAAATTGTCTGAAGACGTCTCAGGAACAAAGGTGTGA